CTATTGCCTTTAGAATACACGCTCATCCTCCAGTCAGTATAGCTATTGACACCACAGCATTGCTCCTACAATAAGATAACATAACTCAGGCATTTCAATGTGACCCCGCTTTGCTCTCATTCTCGTACCCAGATCCTTCACTGTTTTGGGATGGCAAATCGAAGCCTCTGGCCGGAGACACCACAAGTCAGAGTATGTGGGTCATACAATACACTAATTATAGGTATACTGATGGCATATGGGAATATCTTGACCAATCAAATTAAAGATTCATTCGCCATGCCTTTGATTTTCCATTGAGAAACTGAGTAGGATCTGTGATCGAGAATGATGTACTCTTAGGTATTTTGAGTAAAGGATTCCATGTCCAACGACTCTAGCCCCACAAACAGTCTCCTCTGCCACCCCCCCTTAGGCTTCCTAGGAAGGGCCAGGTGAAGTAGATATTGCAAGGAACAGGTTTTCTTACCTTTTCCTGTAGAATGTCGTAAGCTGTTGTGACATGGACATCCTGTCCATACGTCAATAAAGAGGCATTGAGATCTYCCTTCAGCCTTGTTTCAATCTATAAAATTTATTCACAAATAAATAATTAATATTTTCTTCAGAGCAGTGATTTCATGACCGAATGTCATTTTGGACATTCACTTAATGACATTAGTTGTGCATTAACTTTTCTCCTTGACAACCTTTTATTGAAATGGCTTATTATTCATTACCTAACAGGGTATACAGCAACATGCAGAAATTTATCATTATGCCTCATATTCCAAGAATATATATGCTATAATTAACATATAAAGCTACTAAAAAAACATGTCAATTTTATCAGATTCAATGAGTTTTCCAGGAGTTTCAGCGATGTTCCCCATTTTCAAATGCCCTTGAAACCGAGTTTTCAATTCCAGGACTTTTCAAGGACTWCAAGGAGTAGCACCTGCAAACCTATTTTCATCAGGCAATAGCCAATAATAGGATTTTGAATAATCCCCTGCTAAAAGGTTAGTGCTWCAAATGAATGAAACATGTTACCTGTCCCCTGTAGACAAATCCCATTGCAGTGCCAGCAATCTCTCCACAGAAGACCAGCAACACTATCACAAAGAACTATAACAAAAAAATAAAAGAAAACCTGCCATGATTCAAATTAAATCTCTAGCAATTATACAGTATCTGACCATAATTCTTCTTGTTTTTTGAAGTTACAAAAATTGAATTTATATGTCATTCATCTCTAAGTAATAGCAATTTTGAATAAAATATRTAATATCCCTGCTATGAGTATTGACTTACAAAATCATAGTCCTATCAGAAACAATTGCCCATAGCCAAAGACAATACACCAATAAATTACCGTATTTTAAAATCTTATTTTTAACCTGCTGAAATATCAAATTTAATTTACTTTGCACCCTTAAAGATAGAAGCAGCTATTGTGACCTATAATTGCACAAAATGTAATCGTACCAAGCCTAGAAAGCATCTGTTCTCTTTGATAGCACCACAGCACCCAAAAAATGACACCATTGCAATRGCTGCACCCACAACTATGATCAAGATAGAGCCATTAATGTATTTAACACTTTGCAGCTGAGCCAGGTCACCGACTTGAAGCTGAACATAGATACCAACAGCCATTAGACCAATACCACACACCTGTCATTGGAATATTAGTCAATTAACAGGGACAACAAGCATGATTGATTGACAGTTTAATAGTCCTTGCACTTTTCATAACCCTAAGAAATCTTGACCCCTAAAAGAAGTTTGTGTTATTACTTTGTAGAGATGGTATCACCATTCCTGTGTAACAACCCTATGGGGACTGGGGATGACCGAGCAAAGAATGGGAGGGAAAGGAAGGCCTGCAAAAGACCTCTCCACAGTTTTACAAAACTCCTCTTAATAGGCGATTTGCATTATGGCGTCATTTACTACAACTACCAGAATGCTTTGCTCACTTTCTTTTGTAACGCAATTAGTGCCAATTGTTTTACTAATCACTAAAGGGATTAAAAATCTGAATAACAAAGAAAATGCGCAAGGCTTTCTGGTAGTTGTACTAAAGTTACGCCATCATGCAAATGGCCAATTAATGATTCCAAAGCCTGGCAAATTTTATCTCATTTATAAAAATAATATTAGAAATTATAATAAAGAGAATTCAAAGAGATTGCATCACATCAAAATAGCTACAAAATACATTTACAATAATGAAAAATAATGCCTATAATTAAAAAAAGAATATGTCTCATGCTGTGTGACAAATTTGCCGTGTAAACTATGCCACAGGTAGCCCAAGCTCAGCACTTGCTGGCTTTTCACTGAAGGTCTTTTATAGAGAAAATGACAATCAACAAAAGTGATAAGTCTCAATAAAATGCATTTTTAGTCACAGTGTTGGATTACAGCAGAAACCGTTGCATCGCGACTTCAATGTTCAAAGAAAATAGTTGGGATTTAGGTTTTTCTGCGACTTGGGGGCGGAGCTTGATACAAATCAGCCAATGATTGAACGAGTTTTCAAAAAGCTCTGCCCCTCACAATCCAGACAAACTTCAAAACAAAGAGGTTGCGATGCAATGATTTCTGCTGTAAGTTATTCCATATCTATATGGTCCGAATCTCAGAGATTTACCACTTTTAATATTAATTTTTTCTCCTTCAGTGACCTTCAAAGAAAAGCGGAAATGTGCTGAGCTTGAGATGGGACAATGAACATTATAGTTGCAGAAATGAAGGAAAAAAACTGAATGAAATGAAAATAAATGAAACAAAAAATGAATTAATGAAACTGCATTGCTGGCAATTGCACTTACAAAGAAAAGAAAATTGAACAAGAAAACCAGATACTTGACGCATCTTGCTCCTCTATCTAATGGCATGTTGAACTAATTTCAATTCTTGTGTAGTCACTTTGTAGAAGCCTGGAGACAAAATCATGAATATTTAAAAACAAATCGTCCTTTTAAGAGTCTACCCTAACAATATAAAACACGAAAAAAGTTTTAGGAAGCTTTACCTTTTCTTCAGCAGATGGAAAATTCTGACTAAAAGTAAGTTTGAACGGTTAAACTCACGCGATATTTTCGCCATCGGAATGTGTCGTCGGCGCGAGCAACACGTGCTGTACATCGCCACATCGATAGAGCAAGGAGCTCAATACAGTTTTTGAAAGGTTGCCCAATACGTCAAGTCTATTTAGCATTGTTTTCGTAGGWTTAACTTTGCTTTTCAAGAATTGGCAAGTGACGGAAAGTTGAGCACAAATTTCTTTGCCAGATCGCGCCATTTTCAATCTCAAATGTAGAGCCTGTAATCTTACCGTCCAGCGGAATTGTGTTGCTGTCAAATTTCGCGCGTTTTCTCTTTTATTTCAAAAACGTTTGCTYTTTAGATTCGACTTTGAAAAACGTAAACACGTAAAAAGTAAAGAACTATTTAAACACAAGTAAAGTAAAAAAAGCAACGYATGAGTACCATTTCTGGAATTTCTTTCCCTTCTACAAAAGGCTGGATGAAAAGAAAGAAAGAAAGAAAAAAAAAGTAAGAACAAAAGAAAGAAAGGGAAAAATGGAAAAGAGCAATCTAAAAGTATTTAGAATTCAATTGCTCATTAACCAATCATAAACGAGGATAACTGTCAACTAAGTAACTTAATGTTCACATTGCTTTATTGCTCAAGTGATCAAAATTCTTTACTTTTTTCATCCTGTTTCCATGTGTGTCCTGGCTAAAGTTATTTCTCAAGAACACATTTATTTCACTGCTTTATGATTCTCAMAAAATTGACCCTTGAGATCCTAAAACTTATACACGAAGCTAGCCATATGTTGATRTAATCCTGTATACTTTATTTCACTTACTTTACTTTAAGTCATAGCAAAAATTAAAATTATAGTTACACTTTTCAAAAAAATACAGCAAAGTGATAGGTCTGATAATTGATATGAACCAAAGTCAACCATTAACTAGATTTCCATTTGAAACACTTCCATTCAAAATGTTGTARTTACATATTGTCCAAAATGAACTAACAAAACTGGTGTTTTTTTGTCTAAAAAAATGCTCAAGAATTTCTGATACAAAGACAAGGATAAAAAACAAAGCAAAAACAAACAAACACACACAAAAACATTCTGTTAAAGTACAACATAATATTAACTATTGTACAACAAAAATAGCCAATTCAGTGCATGTCATGTATCTAATCAATTTTCTATCAATAAAAGAAAGAAAAAAAGAACACCTTGAATGCAATGACCAACAAAAAAATACAGGGCGTATTCAGGATTCATCATAAAACGTTTTGTGTTGTTGATTCTTTATCAGAGTCAAGGATACACATACAATGTAATATACTAGCTATCATATTCTAAACTTGGAGTATATCAATTATTCACTGTGGTATACACCTAATAAAATGTAGTTAGGCTTCATAAAGGTTACATCTGTCATCAAAGTTAAGAAAGACCAACAAGGAACAAGGTTGTGACATGGAATATTTTTTTGCATTGATGATCCTAATTATGGTGGCCAAACTTCCAATCCCAAATCCCAAATTTCTTTTCAAATTTGATGCCAAATCCAAAACATTGAGTGATCCCAAAAACCTTTTACAGCTTATCTCTGATTCCAATCCCAGCAACTGTGATCCTGATCCCAAAGCTAAAATCCTGATCCTTTCTCCCAAAATATTGCCGATCCCTGATCCTATATACTATGTAACAACCCTGAAATAATATAAGAGTATTACATGTAGTATCACTTGTGTAGTTTCAAATCAAATAATTGTCACTGAATGAAAATGGCTTTTGTTATGGGCAAGTGTAATATGATTACTAGACAAAAAGTAT